GCAACCAGTGAACATTCAACTAAGAGAAGGTAATTCATTTACATGGGAAGAATGACGTGGAAACAATCTGGTTTCAATCGCTGCCGTTGATAAGTAGATTTTCTTCTTTCATACCGTTTTCTTCATCTTTAATCAGGGACCAATCTGTACTTGTGGTTTTTATCGCGGTATTGCATGCGTTGTTACCGGAATATACATGTGGATCTCCTGTTTATGGCTGAGTTTGTATTGAAGATGTATGTTACTAAAATAAAACGAGTTTGTGTTTAATGGAATTAACACAGGGGCTTAAAAACCATAAGTTAATCAAAGGAATTAAAACCTTTTCTTTCATGACTGACTAACGACTTACGAAACTAAGGGATTGTCCGATTGTTATTGTGTTTAATGGAATTAACACAGAGGGTTAAAAACCACAAGTTAATCAAAGGAATTAAAACCTTTTCTCTCATGACTTACTAACGACTTACGAAACTAAGGGATTGTCCGATTGTTAATAATTACGCTGGAAGATTGTATATGATTGTGAATTTTCAGGTCGTATATGTGATTTTCGGACAATTAGAATACTACCAAGATGGCGTACTACAGCTCATGGTAAATGATAAATTTTTTTGTGAGTTTTATTTTGTAGATATTCCTTGGGCGGTTTCATTTCAGCTTTCAACTCGATTAACTTCCATGAGAACAGTTAACATGTTTCATTGACTTATTTACCAACATTTTAATAAAGGCAGTTGTTTCACTTCGAGGATTCTTTGTTACCTTTCATATCATTAGAACAGTAACATTCAAATATATTCATTCACTGATTTTACTTAGAACAACTTAATCAATAAAATATTTACACTTATTCGCTTGATCTTGATCAAACATTTATAATTTCTTCGCTTGATCCTGATCAAACGTTTATCATTTCCTCGCATGATCTTAATCAAACATTTAAAACTCTTCGCTTGATCCTAATCAAACACTTATAATTTCTTCGCTTGATCCTGATCAAACACTTATAATTTCTTCGCATGATCCTACTCAAATATATACCATTTTTCGCTTGATCCTAATCTAATATATATCATTTTCGCTTGATCCTAATCAAATATTTATAATTATTTGCTTGATTCTAATAAAATACCTATAATTCTTCACTTGATTCTACTTTTCCCGAAAGAGGGTCGAAGGCCTCCTGGAGGGGTCACCAGTTTTAACCAGTCGCATCACTATACAGTAGTGTGTTATTTGTCAGTCAGTTAATAAACACTAAAATGACGTTACAATTTGTACTCTCGTGACGTCAGTAAAACGTGCACATTCCATGAATCATTAGAAGAATTATGCACTCTGTAGGCTACAACACAAAAACAGGTTATGATCAACTATAAATAAGCATAGAATTACTTTTGAATGTGTAATGCATTATATGTGAATTGGGGATATATCATAATTATATGAACTTCCGCAGGGTCCCCAAAAGCGTTCTGTTTTAAGAGTAAATAAAATTAAAATTAGGAGTAACAATTATATTTATTTCTTGCTTTTGAACTTCATATGTCAAATACCCATAATTCGTCATTTGATCCTAATCAAACATGTAAAGAAAAAACTTTTCAAAAGAGAAGTAAATGTAAGGATGTCTAATATCAATCCTTCAAAACCAATGCAATGAAGATAGTAGGGATGGCATTTGCCATACCTACATTAACTTCCTGTTTTGAAACGTTTTTCTTCACTTGTTTGCTTGTTATTGTTTTTTTAAAGCAATATTTCAAGAAACATAGAAAGGTTCTTTTTATAACCAATTCAAAATACAATGAAGTTTCAACTGTAATATTTATTGTTTATCTATTATTGGCTGGTTATTCCTGTTTCAATCCAAATTACTTGGTAGGTATTTAGGTGAGATCTATCAAACCCCTTACCTTCTTCACATCTGATATATCCCCAATTCACATATAATGCATTACACATTCAAAAGTAATTCTATGCTTATTTATAGTTGATCATAACCTGTTGTTGTATATTAATTCTTGATTATAGTTTATCGTAGCCTGTTGATCCTAACCTGTAGTGTATTCACTCTTGATTATAGTTTATCTTAACCTATGTTGTGACGACACTTATGCTATAGTTGTGTATTATGTTATCTTATATTGTGTAGTGAGCATCTTTTGTTATGATTAAATATTCCTGTGACTTAGAAGTAAAAGCAGCATGTAATAATCAGTTATGATGATCATACTCGTGTTATAGATTAATTTTGTAAAATTCACATTTTTCATAAACGAATGTTTTATTTCGTAGCTGTTATCTACTTCTCTGGTTATAACACTTAGGTAATAACTATTCGTGACTGTCTAATGACAACATTTACTTCGTAGCTAAGGCTATTCGGTGTAATGACAACATTTACGTCATAGCTAATGCTATTCGGTGTAATGACAACATTTACGTCATAGCTAATGCTATTCGGTGTAATGACAACATTTACTTCTTAGCTAATGCTATTCGGTGTAATGTTTGTATATAGCTACAGAATGGACTATATGTGCTCTGCCCATCACGGGTATCAAAACCCGATTTTTATCGTCGTAAGCCTGCAGCCTCACTGCTGAGCCACTGTGGGACTAGCTAGTACTTACCAGTACAATGACAACGAGTAGTTTATAATACAGCTAAAACATGCCCAAGGTCAGTGTGACGTAGTCGTCCATTCAAAGCTAGTGATCAACTGCAAACTGTAATGATTATACTTTTGTGTATCGTAAGCCAAACAAATTTTTCATAGCTGAGCCTCAACTTAGTGTTTCTACCATGTTTTTTGTGGATAATTCGACGATAATGATTACCAATCCGGTGGATAAAGTTTTTGCAGATTTGAGCATTTTCAGATATTCAAGATGAAGAAGGAACCTATGTCTCAGTTCCTATATGACATAATGTCCCCAATTGTGATGTCTAAACTTAAATTTTCAAGGGCAATGAGCTCAGCTATGAAACCAAAAGACTCCCAATCCAAAAATGTAATAAAATAATTAAGATGTCTGCTAATTTGTTCGCCAAAACAAGAAATCTCTAATATCTCAGTTTCTATATGACATAAAACCTTAAAATTTATATTTTTACCTATGTTTTCAAGTCAAGGAGTATTTTCATTGGACAGCAGCAGATATGAGATGGCGGTCAATATGGCTACCATATCAAGATAGACTGACCTCTGTCTAATCCCTTTAGCATCATAGATATACATAGCGGTGACCTGGTTTGGCGTGTAAACAAAGGTTATGATTGATTCGTAGTCTAGGGACATTACAGTTTTTATCAGTGGCCTCTTTACATGATTGAGCGATTTTGATTATATAATAGTTTTCTGAAAACCTTCTGTAGGCCCAATACACCATCTAACATACTTAGTTGTAATCGTTCTATAAACAATATATAGTTTGGTTTGATAACCCTTATATATTAAAAGAACGTAACATAAAAGATGTACGTATTTTTAAAGTATATGATGCAATATTTATAATTATATCTTGTGTACCAATGTCAACTCAGTTAGGGCGATAGTTGTCATTCTTATAGAACACACAGGTGATTATAGAATAGTATTATCTTACATTAATATAGAGGTTACATATCAATTAATAACTTGCTTTCACTTTAGTCATCAAGTTGTTCTAAAGCAGATGCACTCGTTGTGAGAAAGTTGCAGCGATCCATACTTTCTTGACATTGGCAAAATATTGTGCAGGGTAAGCCTGTCTTATACCTTTGGTTTGCAAATTGCCATCACCAGTAAATTTGAACAGTTTCAGAATGTCTGTTGAAGCAAGTAGCACATTTTTAGCCACTGGTTTGTGGATCATGGTTGGAATTGCGTTGCTGCCAGTAACCAAAAGCCTGTGCTCGTAGACTGGGTGTAAATCATCTTTCATAAGTTCCTCCGCAATCGAAGCATTGAAATGTTTTACGTACAAAAGGATTATGCCGTTTGAGGACAGTGTACTGTCCACGAGGGCACATCTGTTTATGATGGAGCAGGTGGTCACAAATAGAGAGGTCACATTTACTTTCGCTTGAAAAGTAAGTGATATTCTAACTGATGTGTGTTTGGATTCCTATATGGCTAAAACCTAGGCGCAGACAGCTACTTCATCGAATATTCAAATTTAGTTTAAGAGATTAAATTGGCCACCATCTTGAATATCCCACATTCCATAAGGATAAAAAACTTTTACGCAGACATCGAATTATTTCACTATGATATGAACAATAGAAGATAAGTAGTAATCCTTGTTTTGGAAGCCATCTTGATTTTTTCATTATCTTTCAGAATAGTGAGCATCTTTATATTTGACCTTGAAAAACCTAGGTACATACACCATTACTGTGGGTCTATGACCTTGAAAACCTAGGTACATGCACCGTTATTGTGAATCTATAACTTAAAAACCTAGGTGCATGCACCGTTATTATGGAAACCTAGTTGACATATGGACTCCTCTTTGATTTGGCTGCCATATTGAATATCTTAAAATGCTCAAGTCTGCAAAATGTCATCCGGCAGGTTCGTGACTGCGCCTTCGAATTATCCTAAATCCATCAAAATATTGTATAAGTCCTGTCTCATCACCTCGACTGACTGACTATTAGCGTTGTATGTAGAACCATGTAAAACAAAAATGTTGCATGTTGAATCATATGTCATATGCGGAACTGTACTTTAAATGCAGAACCATATGGCATGCATAGTAACATGTATTTTAAACTTAAACAAATAAATACTTATTCACACATACATATATATGTGTGTGTGTTTTTAGATTATTTCATTATTCAGAGTTAGTTTTAGGTTTATATTTTGGAGACCTTAAACTAATACAGTAATACAATCATTATACAACAACTCCTAAAACGTGAGCCATGCTAAGACTAACTTAACCGAACAGTTCTTTACTCTCCTACGCTTGTCCTACCTGATAACGTAAGAAACGGAGATCTACCTAACCAATAGCCAAGCCCCGAGGTTTGGCTGACGGCAGTGTTTCCGTAGTGTCCGGCCATAGCAGAGTTCAAACCATCACTTGAAGGAATGGCTGAAGGAGAGGCCGCGCCGTCAACTGAAAGTCCCAAGCAATTGGAAATATATCCCACGTGGAGCTGTGTCTGAGATGGCATGGACGCTATCCCTGGGTGGTAGAGAGCCGACAGAGTTATGGGAGTCGGTCGAAAACAGCTGGGAAATACTGGGTAGGGCCTAGGTTGAACCGACTGGTACACTTCCTGTTCGTTGCTTGTGTGTTTCTTCACAGACCCCAGGATAGTATCTATGGAGAAGTTCGTAACATCTTCACTGTTGGACGCCATGAATCGTCTACAAATAATAATTTTTAATCATGAAAACCTGTCTTTATAACATTGTGCATACAAAGCTAATTTAATGCTATCAGTTGGCACAACTAACCTTTTGTAATTTATATAATGCATGTACTTGTGTCAGTTGGTAAAAGTAACCTTTGTAATTCACATAACGTATGTACTTGTGTCAGTTGGTATTTTACTCTAAAATAAGTATATTTTACTGCTCATTATTTAATTTCTGTAGTGCATATTAGTGTATAGAAGATATATTAATACTAGAAATATAAGACCTTATATCATCAAAATGTTGTTTTTATTTAATTAAACACTCAACGTTTCGCTGTACAGCTTCTTCAGGAACGTTCACTAAAACACAAACCGAAACTGACAGTACAAAGCTTCAAATGGTTTGAATAATAGATTATATTCGAATCTATAACGTGCATTTGTACAGCGTGATTTTGACATATTAAGTGGTAAAGCTTATTGTTGAAAGAAAGGTATTGTTGTAATAATTAACTGTTACTTGTAGTAAACAAACGTTTTATCAATATTACAGAGTAAAATAGCAAAAAGATAGGTTAAAATAATAATAATATAATTAAAATTATAGGCGCCATCCTTTGTCCCTATTCATCTGTGGTCGTAGTTGTAATAACAACACTTTTGATGTTAAAAGGTCATTTATTTCTTGTATTAATATTTGTTATACTGGTATCCGTGGGTAAGAAAAGTCCCTTTTTTAATCTACATATGTTGTACCGTGTAATTTAGAATCCAAATATTTAGTATTGGTGTAATGTAGTAACAAAGTCCCTTTTATATTCTACAATTGTTATATTGGTGTCATTTAGAAAAAAAAAATCCCTTTAAGCCACATATTTTGTACTGGTGTAATTTAGTGAAAAATGTTCCTTTTTTAAGCCACATCTGTCGTAGCAGTGTAATTTAGTTAAAAAACCATTTTGTAAGCCACATAATGTGTGTTATATTGGTGTAATTTAGTTTTAAAACCCTTTTGTAAGCCACATTATGTACGTTATATTTGTGTAGTTTAGTTAAAAACCCTTTTTAAGCCACATAATGTACGTTATTTGGTGTAATTTAGTTTAAAAACCCTTTTGTAAGCCACATAATGTACGTTATATTGGTGTAATTTAGTTTAAAAACCCTTTTGTAAGTCACATAAAGTACGTTACATTTGTGTAATTTAGTTTAAAAACCCTTTTGTAAGCCACATAATGTACGTTATATCGGTTTTAATTGGTGAAAAATCATCTTTCGTAATTCATACACACACACACACAGGTATAATTCTATAAACAGCATATAACAAAATCCATCTAAAGTCGAGAGTAGGGGCTCCGTACCCTACTTATGAAATGGGATATTTGCACGTGGTCTGAATCTCGTGCCCATTACAAGCTTTTAATCTTCTGTAAACTCGTACTTCTACGTCTGGATCAGTATGTTAGAAACGTGCATCAAGAGGCTGAAGGGCTTTTCAAACGACGAAGATCAGGAAAAGTGCAGACATAGTGGTCTAGAGATACAAACTACAGATAAGACGTTTACACATTGGGTAAAAATACATAAGCAAGCAAGCAGATCCTTTTTCATTCCTATACACTTGGTCGTATAAAAACTTTTATGATCTAAAGTTAAACAGTGTATTTTTGCGTATTAACACATAATAGCATAATAAAATTATGTTTTTTACTATAAAGGCCTGCAAATCCTTGTGTTCTATTTGTCTTAAAGTCGAAATCCTCTTCTTCTTTCCTGATAACTCGAAGCTAAACATGTGCGGAATCATGTGTATTTTTTCGTAGCTTTTGTCCTTTTTTATAACAGAGAAAAGAGGGCGCTTCAAGGGCATAAGGGTAAGAAGGTATGCAAGGGGCGTGAGCCCACCAGTTACCCACCTGTGCACGTCACTGTTCCTCTATCATACAAATATATTGATGCATCCCTCACCACTCGATGTTGTGAAAGTTGATATGTTCATTAGTTAAACACTGTGATTTATTAACGTGCACAAGTATTGAATAGATAGAAGAACTATAGAAAAGTCATTGTCAGTAAAAAATATATATGAATTACACTTAAGTATTGAAGTGAGCAGGAATTAAATTTTTTATAGAAATTAAGGAAGATTATATCAAATTAGCGAAATAGCAGAAATTATACTAATTTACAGAAATGTAGTAGAGACTTTACTATATTATATAAGTGTAGCAAAGATCATATTATGTTAAAGAAATATAACAGGAATTATAGTAAGTTCTAGTAGTCAAGACAAAAGCAAATCTTTTTTTTCAAAGGGTCATGATAGTACATTTCCTGTAGTCTATTAACTTTGGAGTATAGATGGTGCTGTAAAATAACTATCATCACCAGCAGCTGGTGAAAAGAAGAAACAGACAGTCTTGTAAAGTGCAACAGATGTCATAAAGCCATCAGAATTCAGCAGTACCTCGAGAAGAACAGTCTGAAGCAGTAACTTGTGAAGGGCAGTCTTAAAACTACTTTAGCAACTTCAGAAATCGTCCTTGACTAGTGTAATCCTTGGATCTGCCAAGTAATACAGCACTAATAGGCAACAATAAAACAAGACATCTTTAGGCGTCTTGTGAAATGTACATCGTATTCAGTCCAAGCCAAACCTGATATTGAGTGAGATCCTAATAGTATTAGTGTGGGTATGTGGCAGAGATCATATTAAAGAAATATTCGGGGATTATACTATAATACAGAAACGTAGCGGAGATTACACTACTTTGTATAGATGTAGCATCGGTGACAAACGTAGTATAAAGGCAGCAAGTAATACATTGTGTTCTATAATGTAGTGTTTCCCGATAAGACAGCGGTAAGTTTACGGACTTACACGCCAAAATCGAGTGTTCGATTTTACAGTACATTATAGAAATGTGACCGAAATTAAGTCTATTGAATAAATTCACCACGGATTACATCATTTTGCGTAAATATTAAACGGAATATACTATGTTATGTAAATGTGACACAGATCATAACTATGTTATATAAAGGTAACACGGATTATGTTATGTTATATAAATGTGACATGGAACGTACTACGTTATGTAAATGTGACACGAATTATGCTGCCTTATGTAATTGTATCAAAAATTAAACTACTTTGTTTAAATATAGCAGAGATTGTACCATTTTATAGGTACGTTACTGTTTTATAAAAAGAAAGACAAAGAGTAAAAGTAGATAAATATGAGTGATAGCAGTACAAGAACTACAACATATAAGGGTAAGTATGAAATGATGGAAGTACAAGAATTACAGCACATAAAGGTGAATATGATATTATATAGCTACAATAACTACAAAATGATAGAAGTACAAGAACTACAACATTTCAAGATAAGTACGGAGTGACAGAAATACAAAAACTACAACATATCAATATAAATACGAGTGATAGAAATACAAGAACTACAACATATCAAGATAAACAACGAAGTGATAGAAGTACACGAACTACCACATAAAAAGATAAATACGAAATGATAGAAGCACACGAACTACCACATATAAAGATAAATATGAAATGAGAGAAGTACACGAACTACAACATATAAAGATAAATATGAAATGATAGAAGTACAAGAACAACCACATATAAAGATAAATATGAAATGATAGAAGTACAAGAACTACAACATATAAAGATACATATGAAATGAGAGAAGTACACGAACTACAACATATAAAGATAAATATGAAATGACAGAAGTACACGAACTACAACATATAAAGATACATATGAAATGAGAGAAGTACACGAACTACAACATATAAAGATAAATATGAAATGACAGAAGTACATGAACTACAACATATAAAGATAAATATGAAATGAGAGAAGTACACGAACTACAACATATAAAGATACATATGAAATGAGAGAAGTACATGAACTACAACATATAAAGATAAATATGAGATGACAGAAGTACATGAACTACCACATATAAAGATAAATATGAAATGACAGAAGTACATGAACTACAACATATAAAGATAAATATGAAATGACAGAAGTACATGAACTACAACATATAAAGATAAATGAATTAGTTTCTTAGCTGTTAGCGACAAACATGCTTTTACTAAATTTTGATTTTTCTCAGTATGTATTTTGTAGTAGATTAAATGAAGCATGACGTCACCGACATTTGTATATTAGAATAAATTATACAGCGAATTTTGTATATGGAGCCAACATATAATATACTTACTGAACAACATTAAGCTGCAATGATACACTGAGTATCCACTGATGTATATTCAGAGTTTTATATATTGGTATACCAAATTCTCTACATAGTGATTTTCGCACACTTCTAAATAGTCGATTCCATTACGAACAACCACAACTAAAGATAACATCTAAAACTCCTTATAGAGTTAACATATATCCAGCACAATTAACACTGAAACCTACAACTTCTCTTAACATATATCAAGGACAATTAACGATAAGGCCTACAGTTAGCATATATCCACAGTTCCTCATTAGAGCCTTGTAAAGTTAGCTTACAAGATATAAAATTCTTCACAGGATTGTAGTTAGTTTACAGGGTTATCGAAATGGTCCTTATTCCTAATGTCTACATGTACCAATTGTGCAGAAAATAATGAAAACACCAACAAGTCATTATGTCTTCAAACAACCACCGAAGAGACGAGATGAAAAATTCCTGCAGGTATTTATGTCTTTAGACAGTCACTGAAGAGAAATGATTAAAATTCCTGCAGGTAATTATGTCTTTAGACAGTCACTGAAGAGAAATGATTAAAATTCCTGCAGGTAATTATGTCTTTAGACAGTCACTGAAGAGGAATGATTAAAATTCCTGCAGGTATTTATGTCTTTAGACAGTCACTGAAGAGAAATGATTAAAATTCCTGCAGATAATTATGTCTTTAGACAGTCATTGAAGAGAAATGATTAAAATTCCTGCAGG